ATATTTTTTTCATTATTACTACTTTTATAGCATCTGTACTGTACACATTGCTAATAGCATGGTGTTTAATGGCCCTCAGTTACTTCTTTTTCTTACCTTGGGATGAAGGAGGCTTAGTTGTACTTGGATGCTTGTTCCTTTGCAGTGATCACCATGGAACAACTGTGAATGATGATTGGTACATACTAATGTCATACACAAATTAAAAGTCATGTTTAAGGTCCCATTTGATTTTTTCATGTATATTGTGACTAAATTTAAGATGTTTTTGAGTTCCTCAAAAGTAATTTTTTTATTGTTTTGCTTGCTTTTGGATGATGCAAATTTCCTATTCTCAGTTTATTGGGTTGTGAGGTAATGTGTATTTATTTCAGGTAATGTTTAAAGTATCTACCCCTTAGCTTCTACATTGTTTTCCTTATAAAGATGCTAAGTGATGCTCATTAGACAAAACTAATTAGACCACTAATATGTGGTCTCTTCATGTATAAAATAATTATGGAAAAGTTATTTTTTGAAAATAATGATACTTTACAATATACCAGAAGGGACAGAATGTGCTGTTATTGATCAGTCTTGGGTTGTTTGGTCTTTCATTGTTATGAAAGTTCTTTGTACCTTAGAGGGTTTATCTGTGGGTTTAACTCTATAATATCAGCTCCCTCTGAACACAGCATACCTACAAAATTTTGCTAAATTCATTATAATAGTTTAGTGGTTTGCTTTTGTTCAAGGCTTTTCTCATCCTATGTCATGCTATAGCTTGAATGAAAAAGGGGATTATTTTGATTTCTCTCTTTTAATGTAATTTAATACAGATAATAATAACTGTAAACCAGATGTTCTCTTATCTTGCAAATACTTTTGATATTAATGATAAGACATATTCCAGTGAAATTTTAATGGAAGTGTTCTTAAAATAATGAGGCTGGATACTTTTATTAGGATGTTTTGCTATATATTACTGTCTTTGTCTAAAAAGAAAAGTTAGGAAATTATTTTGTATAATGAAGAAATATCATTTATAAATAAGAAATATTTTCAGTTCCTTTTCCACCTCTATTTTGTAAGGAATGTCTCACAGATTCTGTTATACTTGTAGAATAATCTTTCAGTACTGCTTTCTGTCATTTTTTGGATACATACTGGTATATTGAGTTGGAAAGCACTTGTCTACAAAAGCACTTTTAACTGCATATTATGCCTGCTGTATTATATTTTTATGACAATGCCCACAGCACAAAAAAAGGGAGGAAAAAAGAGAAACAAAATTAAAAACACCCCACACACTGCCACCAAATTACCCTTTTTACTATTTTTTTTCTATGTATTCAGACATTTCATAGTCAAATGGTTTCTTTTGGTCAAGTGCCCCTATAATTGAGTTCAGAGTGTTTGAGCACACTGACCTATAATGGTTATACAGAAACAGAGGAGAGAGGCATTTTCTCTCATGAATAGATTCTGTAACAACAGCGTGATCAATCTCTGAAATGTAAATATCTTCATTCTAAATATTCCTCACTAAAAGTGAGACACCTTTATCATCTCAATTTAAAGTTTTTAAAACATCTCTCTTTGTAATATTATTTCCTCAGCATAAATAATTCCAGTTGCATAGGCATCCTGTATCTCAGAAGGCATTTCCCAAGCAGGCATCTCTTTCTAAAAACAGAACTCAATTGTAACAGAGAGAGCTGTAGCATAGTTTTATTGATGACCTTGGCAGCAGCCCGTGTACAGCCTTTATTTATCCCATTTCACATTCAGTTTTCACACTCTCATTCTCTGTGATATTGCTGCTCTTTGATCCTTCACTGATTCTGTTGGGAACTGGGGATTTGCACCTTAAGAAGTTCACTGTAGCACCTGGTAGCACTCAGCTGACTCCAGCCTGTCCTTCACTGTCAAGTTCCCCATCTGTTTCCATCTGTATTTGTTTGGGTAGCTCAGATTAGGCATTTTCAGTGTTATTTATTCCCAGTTTGTGATAATATAAATGTGAAACCAGTGGCTTTATGTAGTTTAGCTTTGTTAATGCCTTTGGCCATACTGCAAATGCCCTGTCTGACCATACAGCTATTGGCAGTGGTACAGAACAAAAGCTCCTGGTACTAAATTGTTTGTAAAGGTACAAACTATTGTGCATCAAATTGAACCAGGAGTCAGTTCCCATGCCAAGTACTGAGCAGTCTGAATTTCAGTGTCCTAATACTAGAAAATGCTTATTAAGAACATTTTATCTTCTTAATATTATGTTATATAATAACATATTACGTTATTAAGAACAATTTCTGTCTGGAGACAATTGAAACTGGTTAAGACCTGCTCATTTCCCATGTTCCTACATGAACAGTTGTCCATGTCCCAACCCCATCATTATTCATGTACCTGCTCATGGCCAATTTTGTGTGTCAAACTTCCATGCAGAAAACACAACTTTCCCCTGGTCTTTATTTCTTTTCCTATTCTTTCTGCCCAAGACAAGTCTGTAGTAGTTTGCTGGGCAATCGTTTTACCTCAAAGTTTAGAAGGAAATGACAACCATCCTGCCAGCTTCAGCCTCTTTGAAGTTTATTGGAGACAGCAAGCATTTGGAAAATATCAAAATGAAGTGGCAACTAATGATGTTTTTATGAGACTTCTATCAAATGCTTCAAATATATTTCAGTATTGCTGATTTTTACAATTAAAATGCCAAGATAGATACAGAACTGCAATATTTTTGCCTTAGTTTATTCCCTCTGGTTATTGCATATAAACCTGTAGGATTTGTTTCTTTACCAGCTCTTGTGATGTCATACCTGCTATAAGATTTTGGGGAACATAATTGCACATTATACACAATTTTCTCATGAACTTATGGTGATTCTTCTTCTAGTCTCACTATCTTATATTCTTTAAACTGTTTTAAGACAGATTTATCACAATTATTCTTATATACAGTGGAAGCATTTGAAATCTTGAATATAAGGATTTAAATACAGAGTTCAGATTTGTCCAACTCTCAAATAAATCTTTCCCTTTCAAAAATGTAGCATTAAATGCATATTGCCTCTCATAACAAGTTTTAATCACATGGGCTAAATCCCAAGCAACAATGATGCAAAATTTCAGTAAGAAATATAAAGATTTTATTTCATGGTTGTCATATGCCATCAGCTTGGAGTCCAGTAGAATATTCTAAATGTAAAGATATATAGTGTTTCTCTCCAAGAATAGATATACTTATTTTGCAGCTGTAGGTTGAAAACCGATATTTTTAAAAAACAAATTCCCTAAGTAGTATCTTAGTAAGGTAGGCTGTCAGTGCAAGTATTTTTATCTTATGTAATTGCTAAAAAGAGATCTGAAGAAAAAAGTAACAGATGTATCTTTTGAAAGATTAAAGTCATATGTTCCCTGTGACTTAGAATGTGCTCAAGTGGTAGTAAGCAGGTGGAAAAGTCAGCTGAGTTCAGCTATAAAGTATGTTGTTGTGAACCATAATGTTTTTAATTAATTGGTAATTGGGGGTTCCTTTGCAGTGAGGAAACTTAACTGTGTATTTGCCATATTTATTTAAGTAAACAAACTTATTTCAATAAAAATGCAAAATTCTAAATTATAATGCAATTTAGCTATTGTGTGACAGTTTTTGAATTAACTAGCAATAATAATCAATATATACAAATAAATCATAATGTTTTTAAAGACTACCTGTGCCTTCCCTTCTGTAGAGTTTAAGCACCTTCATAACCCATTGTACCAAAAATGAAATTAGTGTCCAGTAAAAAGTTCAAGCTTAATATGAAACCCAGTAAAGAGATTTATCTGAGTGTTGGGTTGTGCTGGAATAGACCTAGGAGCAAAGAGAGAAAAAAAAACATTCTTTTGCAGTGATCTGCAAAGGTAAAAGAGTCAAAAGCATCCCCAGCAAAGCTGACTGGGCGTCTCCTGTAAGAATAGCACTGGTTTTGTCTGGAATATTTTGTATCTTTCCAAACCTTCTTTTAGTATAGAACAATGTCAGTCACTAAGCATCTTAAACTCTAAACTTGCTCTCTAAACTTTGCAATTTGTTAAATCCTTAGAAAGGCATCAGGTGGCAGGAGTTCTTAGAACTGTGTGAGGGTAACACTCTATTGTACCTCCCTAAAGATAGCTTATGTTGAAATTCATAAATAATTCAAAAATACTTAGAAAAAACATGATTAATTGCACAATATGCAACAGAGGCAGATGAAAAGTGACTACTTGCTGCCGTTTCCACACAGAGAATTTGAGGTTCTGTAGTAAACTTAATCATATTTACAGCAGGATGAATAAGCAATTGAATTTCATTCAGGTATTTGTTTCTGGTTTTGATGGATTTACTGAGTCTGCATCCATGGACTCCTTGTGTTTGCTTGTATGCACAGACAGTGTTCTGAATCCTAATGGAAGAAATATTTGCCTATTGATATTCACACAAGGAAATTATAGCAGAATAAGCTGTGTGCTTATCCAGGCACCTGCCTCCTGGAGCACATATTCTGAATATAAACAGTATTTAGGGCTCCTGTCCCTTTAGGACAACTCTTGATGCTTTCACTCCCATGTCTGCTTACACACACACACAGACACACATGTATTTATATTTCTGCAAATACATATCTAGTTATAAAGTTCAAAATTTAAAATTATAGGATGTTACATACTTTTGATTAAGCCTTTTGTTTTATTATTCAAGAATTTTAGAAAAGGACTCTGGAATGAAGATTGCAGCAGTAAAAACAGGAACTGAAGACACAAAGCTATAGTTTTACGCTAAAAATGCACTCAGAATGTTGTAAGAGCCATTGCAGAGTTGTGCTGACTCCTTCCATGAGGCTTCTTGTTGATTTTGTAGAATCACTGTTGTCATTCATGTAGCTCTTGAGAAGATGCTGGTGGTCACTTTAAAAGGTTACTGTGTTAAGGTTACTGTGTTAATAGCTGACATCTACTAACTTTATACCATCTTAATTGGATCCTTTTAGATGTTCAGCCAACTGGTCAGGCACACAGTGTGAGAGGCCAGCTCCCAAAAGCAGCAAGTCTGACAATATCAGTACAAGTAAGTCCTTCAGTTAACTGCTATTACTTGTCAAATTTGCCTCTGTTTAGAAATCTAAAGCTGGTAATATTATAGAATGTGATTTCGTGCTGTGAAATGTGCTGGTCACCTGCATCTTTTTCTTTTTAAAAAAACCCAAATGCAGGTATTTCTTGACTTTTTATCATCACTGAGTGTTACATGAAGTGGTTTGGATGCAGGCCATGCTGTACACTCACTGCTCCAAGGGCTAACTGCACTTTTCTTGAAGAAAGTGTATCAAGTGACAAGCATTTGGCAATATCAACATAGTGCAGAGAACTAGTATGAGACCTCTGACCATTTAAGTCCTACTGAAAGCATAAAAAATAGAGTTACAAGTGGTGCATAACTCTTGTACAGGCTGTCTGCAGAGGTTTGAATTTTACCTACTGTGAAAATCATCCTGGAAGTTAGAATAGCTCCTGTCGTATTTTTTTAAACACATCTGTGAGCATAAAAGGAAGGTATTGCTACACTATTGGCAGTTTAAACTGGACAAAGCTGCCTGCAGAGTGTTGAGTATGCTGATAGTACCCTGCTGTATGTACCTCTATCACTTTTAGCCCAAGTGGAGCAGTAAAATGAGTTACCCAGTATTCAGGTCAGCTTGATGCTTAGATGAAATCTTCCCAGCGATCCAGACAAGTGCAAGAACACTTAAAACTGGAAATAGGCAAAAAAGCAGCCAGAACCCAGATCAGTATTTCGTGCTGAGGGAATACCTGCTCTAATTTGGGAAATGACTTCTCTTAGACCCCAGCCTGCACCATGGTTACCAAACAGCAATTCATGCCTGGTGGGCTGTTTTTAAGGGGTTTTTTTCTTGGAAGTTTACATGCCAAGACAAAATTAACCTATTTTTCTTTTGGTTTGGTTTGGTTTTTTTATTTTGGGGTGTTCCTAAGTAGAACTTAATCCAGCTATTTATCAAATGTTTTCTTAAAATTCCCTTGTTGTAATGTCCTTTACATGCTGAATCTTCGTAAGCTGAAGTGAACTCAGGATGCTTCAAGTTTTTTATTCAGTAGTACTTCATTTCTTGTCTCTGACAACCTGACTTGGCTTTCAGTAAGCCTTCAGGCAGAATTCAAGGCATTTTTCAATTCTTTATTTAGACTGTGTTTAATGTAGAGCAGAGAGTGCCAAGAGCTTATTTTTTTAATAAACCACTAAATGGAGCCAATGAAACAACCAGCAATATTTTTGTTTTCCACCAGTTAAGGGTTGTGATATTAAACATGCCATTCCACACTGGCTTTATGCTGAAGTGCTGTAGTTTATAAAGGCCAGATTATTTATAACATAAAATTATTTGCTGCATGTATTTCTTTACTACCATGTACTTACAGTAAGGCTGAGAAATTCTTTAAGGGGCACAATTGCTGACTCTAATTTTGCAGGTAGTCTCATTTCAGTGAAATTATCTGCCAAAATAATGTTAAGCCCATTTACTTCTTCCCTGTTCCCACCTCGCCTTTAACATCCCTGTCTGATCTGGGCACTGTTTTTCTGCTGCATTAAGCATTATTGTTATAAGCACATAGTTTTTGTCATTGCTTGTATCAACATAACAAAATTGTTGGCTCTCAAGTGCAATGCAGTAAAATGCAGGAATGCAGCAACCATTTAGAAATTAATATTGTTTACTACTTTTTGTTTTTCCGCAAATAAAAGTAGTAAATACATATAAATGCTAATGAATTCTTCAATCAAAGCCAAGTCTACTGAATATTTTAAATTACTAGCTCTATGCTGAAGATGATGGTGGCAGTCAGAGGCCACTCCAGTCTAAACTGTTCAGCAATTCCACATATTTTCACGGGGTATTGCTGCAAACGAGGGCAGGGAATTAGTTCAAAGTATATTGGTATCCAGAAAGAGGAAATTCCCGATTTGCTTAAAAAAGTGCTTGTGTGTACACTATTATCTGTAATGAGGTTGCTTTTTTTAATTGATCAGCATTAAAATCTCAAATCAGTGAAGCTTATCACATGAAATTGCATTTGTTGGTGCGGGAAATTATTCTTTTTTGATTAATTTAACCGTTTTACAGCTATGAAGCCATGAGTATTCAGTGATATTTCCCTTCTATTTTAGGAAGCATAGCAATCATTGTTCCTCTTGTTTTACTGGTGACTTTGATCACAACTCTGGTAATTGGACTATTTCTTTGCAAAAGAAAACGAAGGTGAGTAATTTTATATTGATATATGAGGTAAAAAATAAATCTTTAAAGTATGTGCATCTTTTTGATATACAAAAAATCACTTTATGTATGTTGAGTAGATATTAAAAATACAAAACTAAACCAAACAAACAAACAAAAAACGACAAAAAAAGCCACACAACAAATGTGTTTCTCGATGCAGTGAATTGAATTAATTATATTTTGGTTCTTGCTGGAACAACCACATCTATTATTTATACTTATATTCCTCATAGACTAGAAAAAACAAAATTGCAGTTCTTATCCACCTTGCTCCATCCTGCCAAGGCTGTTAATAACAAGTGTTAATAACTTTATCCAGAGACTTAGAGAACTTAATAAATAGAATTAATGTATTTCATTGAAACCACATAATTAATATTGTTCAAGTTATAGTGAAGATGTAAACAATGATGAAAGTGTTTACTGTAGAGTCCCAAGCCTTGTTGTCATTACTGTGTTCCTTTAGTATCTTGCATAGGAAGCCAAAATCCAGGATTGATTTTGTTCCCTTAAATTTAGATGCCTTAGAGCTGATGATGAACTTGGGCAGTTGAATTAGACTTTTTGACTTTGACCATTTCTTCAAAGGCCATGTTGGGTGGCCAGGGAGGCAGTGTGTGCTGCATGCACACACCTGAGAGAGCTGCTAATTTTCTCGTGTTCAGAGAAACAAGAATCTGATGTTGATGGTGATGCAGATTTAACAAGGAAAGATTCCTAGTAATAAGAACATGGCCCGCTAGGGAAGTCCTGAGCGGGAATCAGACAGCAAACCATTTATTTCAGGCCTGTAACTGTCCTGCTCATTGGCCTTGAGCAGCTGTCTTCCTTTCTCCTGGGGCTTGTTACCCCGCCTTTGAAACCAAGATAATTTCTTGTTGTTAAGTCCTTTAGAAATATGTGATGAATCTGCTGTTTCTGCAAGTGTGACCATTTACGTGGCTGTTTCAGTCCTCCAGGCTAAAAGAATATTTTAAGTTGCTATGATCTGGCATTTCCCCTGCAGACTCTGGTGTAAACTAGTAAGCATTAATTTTTAAAACCTTTTTTATAAAGCCAACAAGATAAATACATTCCCTGTCCATACTGGTATTAATGCTGCCAGACCCTGCCAGGCTCTGTGGATGTCATTATGTCCTGCTGTACCTAAAACACAAACTTTAGTGATAGCTAAATCCTGAAAAACAGTTGCTGACCTGTAAATTATTTAAGTTATTGAGAATCACTTGTTAAATAATAGATTTTCAGTAGAGAAATAGAACTAGCCTCAATAAAGAATTTTCTTCTTAAAATTATCTTTGAAAATATATTTTAGGGTTATTTTATCTCCTCAAAGAAGACTGTTAAGTGCTAAAGTAGGTGTAGTTGTTCAGCACTTGTAAGCTACAGTAAAGTACTTATTTTAGAAAATATTTTGTTCTATGCTATTTCTTAAAAATACAGACCATTTAGTATATTGGATTTCAAACACTGACTGCAGCTTTTTCAACCAACAAGAGGACTCTACTGTTGTCATCCTGACTGTGACCTCCCTATTATTCCCTTGTAATTCTAGAGAACATATTGCATTTGGAAAAAAATACCCTCTTGAGTTTATTTCTATTGCTCAGACTGAAATCACCTCCTTAGCTAAAAGAAATGAATTCAGCAACTGAAACAATTCAACTCAATCACTTATCTTTACTGATACCTAGTTCAAGGTTAAAAATAAGACTTTCTTTTACCAAAGCTTGAAAAAAAAAAAAAAGTTGAACTTCAACTTTCCAATAACCACTGGCAGGGAATACAAACTGGAGCTATGAGAAGTTCATACATTTTTAATGCATTGTAATGAAACCATTTGCTTGTCCTCAGTTTACAACTGAATTTGGACAACGGATTTGAGATAGAAGCGAAGTGGATGAGGGAGGGAACATGACTCAGGTTCACTCCATCTTCATTCCTGCAGGGAATCTGCAGTGAGTTCTAAAGGCTTTCCTTGGGAAGTGAAGGAAATCTGGAGATAATCAGAGGAAGTCAGTGTTATTAGACAACGAGTTAGCACTTTGTATGAATTCACACCACTACAGTCAAACTGAGAGAAACAGTAGCATTCTACCTCCAGCTTCTGGGAGATCTATACATAGACTCAGATTGTTACTTTGCTTGGAAAATGGAAGGATTTGCTGATGGTCTCTGCAGGAAACACTTTCTCATCCCGTTGCCTTTAGATATTAAACATAATATCCAAAAAAATTACTGGAAAACTCCCTAGCTTCTCTTCTTCTGTGTTTATGCATCGTAGGACAAAAACTATCAGAAGACAACCCATGATAAATGGAGGAATCAACGTAGAAATCGGCAATCCATCCTATAACATGTATGAGGTGGGCCATGACCACAGTGAAGGTGGTCTTTTAGCCTCAGATTTTACTGTAAATGCAGAAAAGGTAATTTTTTTCTTTTTCTAGTGGCAAAACCACTACTTATTTTGTGTCTTACAAAGGCTTTGACTTTAAATGTAATGAATAGAAGCATAGAACAATGACATTTAGATTTAGTTAATGGATATTAAAGCAGGTTGGATTTCATTAGAGTAAATGTCATGTATATATTAACAACTGGTTTGTAGTCTGATTCTTGCTGATGATCATTTTTCCTGTATTTTAACAAAATAGTGTTAGAACTGAACTACAAAGTGAGTTTTTTGTCATAGACACATCTGCCTTAAGTTGCCAAACCACAATCTATCTTTTTAGCCTAGTGGCAAATATTGAATGGAAATATATTATTGTACAGCCTATGTTTGAAGCATCAAAGAGTGCATGCATACATATGAGACTAACTTATTTCACACCTGAAAACTTCCAGAGGCATAAAGAATTGGGATTCCTGGCAGGATAGATAGATTAAATGTTTACACAAAGCTAGTAAGTATTATCATTTCCTTGTATAAGATGCTGTCACTTCTGCAGCACCACTCTGCAGTGATTGAGCTCCCTGAGTGATGTGACATGGGATGAATGGGGTAATGCTGCCATATCTTTCCTAGAGCTCCATAATCAGACATACACCAAAGGGCAGCCATCCCTCTGTGGCATTTCTGACAAAGCAATAACAGGATTACTGGTAGCTCTAGGAATGTCATTGCTGAATCACATAGTCAGGGTGCTGAATACAAGAGGTAAGCTGAAAATGGAGTTACTCACTGGAGGCAGAATGACTGAGCCAGTGCTTATTGTGAAGTCTGGCTCTAATCCTTAGTGGAAAATAACTGCAAAATGCTGAATTTTATTTTTTGTGCTGAGGGATACGTGCAAGATTTTCTTAAATGTAGATCAGTCTAAAATATTGTCTTTAATTGCTGCACTGTTTACTTAACAGTGTTGATAATTACACGTGGAAAATGCTCTGCTAGCACAGAAACTAAAATTTTCTGTTTATACAGGCCAGATACATAGGGGGAGGGCCCACTGCATTCAAGCTTCCCCACACAACTCCATCAATCTACCTAAACTCTGACTTGAAAGGACCACTATCAACAGGGGTGAGAAATGATGATTCAAATCCATTTCATTCCACATCAGCCCCTTTCTAAAGAAAGTTTGTCTGTCATTTTTGATTAGAGGCATTTTATGTTTGTTTTTAATTTTGGTCTTTTTTTTCTTTTAATGGAAAGAAGAACAACAGTAAATAATACATTTTTCTGTTTGAAATAAAGGGTCCCTCCCTGCATACAAAATTTCACCTGTACCCATCATTGTAACATGATCTAAAACTGCAAGTCTGTCTTTGCAAAGGAATGAAAAAACAGTAAACACTGTGATGCTTTTCCATAACATTATACAAGTTCAGCATGGCATTCACAGCCATGTATCTTGATGTATTTGCAGTTCTTATGTAATTACAGGCATTTATCAAGTTTATCAAACTGAAATGTGATCCCAAAGAATGGAAACAAGTGCATTTTTTTAAGAGGACTTTGATGCACACCAAAATTAACAATTTCCTTTATTATTTGCAGTGGGTTTTTTGATTGTTCAGTTTTCAATGGATTTGTATCATAAACCAGTTCCTTCTGAAACATCAGATTTTTTACTACATTTTAGCATTATGTTTGCAAACACTGAAATTCAAACTACAAAAGAGACGTCGACATTCATTTTCATGTGCCTCAAAATATATTCATCTTTTGTGCCATTTACATTCTTGCATGATTGTAATATGTTGTATTTGGTAGCTTAACAATTTTTATAGGGTGTGATTTTTCTGATGGAGCACAGAACCATGGATGATGAAAGCTGGAATATTTGCCCATCTGTAACATTAACTCTTTCTTGTAAATTCTAGTCACTCCAGTTTCTTTCTGTACCTCACTGTACTGCATTATGGTATCAGTAGCCACTCAAAGAGGTATCATGAGGCAGAGATTACTATTATATATAATTTTAATAACTCCATAAGGCACTATATAGATGCCAGATGTCTGTTCTGTTGTGCTTTTCATCCTTAATAATGGTTGTCAATGAGATAAAAAGTCCTGATGATTGAAACAGAACTAAATTTCTGTTCTCCTAAATTTCTGACTGTAATCCTGGGCTCAGAAATAGTGTTGATCAACAGGGAAAAGAAGAACTAAGACTCTAGACATCTTTCATTCCTTGTTTCCCAGGGTGTACTCAGGCTATTTGCAAGTCAAGAAAACCTACCCATTTTTACTTTGGGTAATTTAAAGTTTAACCATTTGTTATGTACACCAAACAAATTAATTTCCCTATTTTAGAGCTTGCTGGAGTACGACTGAGTATTTGTGAAAGCACAGCTGTGCTGTCCCACTAGTTATAAGGAAGAGGAAGATTTTGACCACAAGACACCCTTTCCAGTTATTATAGGAAAAAGCTGAACATCGACTTGGATAGCAAAGGTTTTCTAGGGACAATAAAGGCACAAAGTGTGAAGGAAGTAGTAGAGACATGACAGACCTTGGATAATGTTCTCTCCTTAGCATGAGTGACAGGAGAGAAAGTTTTCCTCCATGTTATACATCCTTCTGGGCTGTCAGGCTCAGGAGATTTCTCACACACTGAAGTGTTTTGTAGCATTAAAAATGGACTTGTCCTATACTGAAGTACCATTCATTTCAATAGATGTTTTTCATTACAGTCCAAACTGCCAAAATTTTTGAGAAAATATTTCTCAATCTGTAACTACTATGATATATTAACACTTATGCTGGTTTATTATTAAAGTTTAATTTACATTACGCAAGTATTGAATTTTTTGGTCAAATCATGTTGTGTATTTGGGCCACAGAATTCGAAAACATGGTCAGCTATTGATGGGATGCTGATGTCTTAGAACAGGTAATATATGGAAACTGTTGGCTGCAGTTTTCTACTGTTAAACTTGTCACATGGTCTCACAGTGCACCTTCTCTATAAACTCCTTCATATCTATTCTGAAATCTTCCAGTGTAATAAGGTGGACAAGTCAACCTCAGAGACATTTTTTTTCAAGGTTTTTGTTTAATTTTTGTCATTGTTTTTATGGTTTTAATATCATAATGTGCTGCATGTCACGTCATTTGTTATTTTAATAGCATGTCTCATCATGAATTTAATTTTTAACTAAATAATTAACTCATTATCAGGTTTTCAGATGTCCAGGTATCTATTAAATATGTCCTGTTGTATTTTATGTGTACTTGTTGTTGCTTTAACAAAACCATTTCCATTTCCATAAATGCTAATTTTGGTTTAATCTGGCTGATCTAATGTTTTATTAATTTCTCTGCAGCCAACAAATTACGCCAATCCAGTATATGCAAAGTTATACGTGGATGGACAAAACTGTCGAAACTCCTTAGCAAGTGTTGATGAAAGAAGAGAACTTCTTCCAAAGAAAATAGATATTGGGATAAGGGAGACTGTGGCATAATCTGCTGTTACCTTTTATACTCTGTATAAATGTATAAAATATAAGGATTACTTTTCTATGTACCAACAGTATTATAATTGTTTTGGCATCAGCATTACCTCTGTTTTTTGTTTGGTTGATTGTTTTCTGGGTTTTTCTTTTGCTGATGACTTTTGACTGACCATTTGTAAGGTATTTTTATGAAAAAGAAACTGCACTACGGTACAATTTACAACAATGCTGCTGAAATAACACACCTTTAAATTTGTTAAAATGGCAAACAACGTATTCGTTTGTAGCGTGAAAATGAGCAATCTATTTTCTATGAACTTTTTTGGTTCTACTTAATCAATGAAGATGGTATCTGCACTTTTTCATTATGTAGTCTGGAAGCTGTAGTACAGTGTGTAACTTTGTTTATTTTAAATGGTGAAAGAATGATTGAATGGTCTACTCTCTTCTTTGTGCCCATTAGAATTTCTCTTCAGATCCTGATGAAGCTAGATAACTTTTCACAAACATACATAACTTGCTTTTAAATTAGCTTTAGGTTGCCAAGAAGTAAACAAGACTATAGAAATGAGACATCTAATGATCTGCATGAACACAATGATTATGTTTCAGAAATTCAGTGACTGTACATGATATACTAAACATATATACCATGTAAACAAGCTTTGTATTTATTAAAACCTTATAGAACATAGTAAAGATATATCTTGGAAGCTGAAACCTTACTTGCTGTGGGACAAAGCATCTGAACTCCAACAGTCCTGTAGGACAGTAGCCACCCTAGAGCACAAGAGGGCATTGCCTACACATGTGTTATGTTTTTTCACTTAATCACACGCATTACTTACGGATTAATAATTCCCCAACACATACCGAGCAGTAGGGAAAAAACCAAACCCCAAACCTTAAGCACACTCAGATGATCACAGCATTCGGTTTTGACAATCACAATAAAAAACCCCCTCACGCCTGTTTAGAGATATTAAAGAATTCAAAACACAGCAGTTTCTTTAAATTAAGATAAACTCTGGTATTGTGGAGGTAAAACGAACCAAACTGCATATTAGTGAAACCTTACCAAAGCCCAAGTTTCAGTAGCCTGGGTTAAATGTCAAAATCCAATTATCAAAAGTGAAAAGCATCAGTATCAGTTTCCAGCACTTCTCTGACCTGATCTGCTTTCTGTTGTTGCTAAGAGGCAAAATCTGACTCACCTTTTTTAATTTTGATGGAAATAAAGAATACAATTGCTTTCAGGTTTGAACTGAATCAAAATATTTTATACATAACTTTAAAGGCACAAAAGACGTATTCACACATATACTGTGGAGGATTCTTCCTTCCTCTGCTAGACATGACTGACTTTTAGCTATCATAATATATTAACCTAACAGATTAAATATGTTTGTGGTTGCTCTTTATTCCCTTTGTACAAGCATTACAAAAATAACTGCTGTTTTATAAAAGATTTTTGTTGTACTATTGTGCATGCATACTACCTATTTCTAAACTTTGCCATATTGGGGCCTTTATAAAACTCTTGATTTATGTAATACTAGTGCAATTTTGCTTGAACAATGTTATGCATATCATAAACTTTTTCAGGTTCTTGTTTAAGTACATTTTTTTAAATTGAACAGTATTTTTCATTTTGGTTATAATAGTCATTTTGCCTATGTTTCTACAATGAAGTGTTAAATACTTTATAAAAAAATTGTTGACTGATTTATTTAAATGAAAATCTACATACTTAATTCAGTGTGTTGACTAATTTTTAAATTTAACTTATAAAATGAAAGCTAAAGAAAGAGCAAATTGAAGCGAAAGAACATTACTTTGTACAAATGGCTAAATCCCTTTTCTTAATGACAATTTTTGCTTTTTATACAAATTCTGTTTGAATGTTTTTGCAGCTCTGCACGTGTTTGGATAACTTAGGTGTATAGCTGTACATTATGTCAATAGAATTTTAAAACTATTATTTTTTCTATAAAAATACTGTATTAAATAGTTTCATACCACACAGCTATGATTCCACAGGTTCTGCCTTTATTCTGCTGACATCATCAGAGATGGACTAGGCCCTCATTTTTTTCTATAATTAAAGTTGTTATTTGGTGTAAGTAGTTGGACATTTCAGAAACATTATTACTGTTTATTTTCTGGCAGAGAATCTCATATCTTCAGTACTCAGGTAGAACTAAATTTTAACTAGTGGGTGTACAAGTAACATGAGGTTGAAATCATGAACTCATACGGGCCTGATGAAATTTACTTTCTGTGATGTCTCATGTTTCCTTTCAGCGAGACATTTTTATTTACTTTACCCTTGCTTGAGACTAAATTATTTAAAAAAAATTAATTTCCTTAGAAATACACAGTTGATGTCAGTGGAGCTATTAGATATTAGTATTAGATCAGAATACAGTTGTAAGTATGTAGCAGAATTTTGATGGAGATATTGAGCTCTACCACTGCCATGCTTGAAGATCTTTACACATCAGTATAATAATACACAATGGATTTTTTGTTTGGTTTTTTTTTTACTTTAACAAGGTTCTCCACGGGAATTGTTTCCACAATTCTTTAACAGTCCCAGAATCCACAGGCTCTGGTGCTGTGCAGAACACACAAGGAGCTGAAGGGTGAAAGACTGAGAACCTGATCAATAACCTACATGTGCATCCTCCTAAGTTCAGTAAAATATTTTTGGGCATGAAATTCTATACAAATGTTACAAGTAACAAGAACAATGTTTTTAACTTTATACATTTCCACAGCCTTCTTGCTATTATTAATGCCACATTATTTGTGTTTTAAGTTGACATAAAATTAGAAGGGAAAAAAACTGGCTAAATATGCCTGCATCACTGATTAAGGCATCCATCTGTTCAGGATGTAGTTACAAGACTTTTCCTGGTTGCTTTTCTCTGAAAGCATTGAGCACTAACAGTCATGTGAAATGCTAGTACTGCTCCATTTCACAGAATTCATCAGGGTAAAATTTTTCTTCCACAGTACTGATGATTTTTCATAGCAGTGTGAAGCAGTTTGTGGGTTCAGGGAAATGAAACTTCTGATAAATCTAACCCTGAAATACACTGTTCATTGACCTTTTACTCTTAGGCTAAGCAATAGCCACATTTTCATTGAACAGAAAACAAAAATACATGTAACCTTGAAGGGAGACATGATGTGCTCCGTCACAAACCAGGTTCTAAAGTTCTTTGCTGAATGGAGAATCTCTATGCAAAACCTATAAAAAACCCCAAAAAACTTTTGTGCTAAACTTTTATTAATTATGTCTAATGGATCTTTTTCTTTTCCCACAGAGTTTATAATAGTTATTTACATACCAGTGCTCTGGAGTCTCTGCCTTGTGATAGGCCTCTTGGTCTATGCAAGTGTTTGCATAAATGCTAAATTATGACAACCAGAGTTCAAAATGACAAATCGAGATGGATGATGCTCTTGGTACTCTGATTATTCCTTCTGCACAACTGAGATTACGATCATGAATGCAGTCCTGGGAAGCTGATATGAGAATATTTATTTTGCTGTGCATTTTTTAATTGTTTTTTTTTTCATTTCCAAGACAGTTATGGTGTTTGATGTTTGCAGAAGGAAAGCTCTGTAGTGGAATGCTTTTAAAACTTCTACCTAAGTGTACTTTCTAGCAGTTAGATTGTGCAGAAGGTCCTAATATAACAACAATTATTTTATTTTTATCAACTCTTAGTGACCAGAATCAGTGTAGTCACATGCATTAATGGAATTTTGTGTAAACACATTTCAGAACATTTGTTTCACACGAAAGTGCATAATATATCAGAATAGAACCAAGTATCTTCTCATGCATCCCTCCTTTTTGGAGGATGAAAAGATGATACAGGAAAGCAATGTCAGTGATGATAAAAGGTCCTCAAGGTAGTTGGCCTTAAGAATAAAGACACTTTTCATGTGGAACAAGCAGACCAACAGTGAATCTTGTCTGTCTAGTCCTGGGCATCTCTGCAAAAGTGTTGAGGCATTTGGAATTTTTCAAGTCTTAGATGGGCAGAAGGATGGCTGATGGAGAAAATGATAATTTATCATCCTGGTTCAATAATTTATTGTGCTTACCATCTCCTCATATGAAATACAGATCTCATGAAAGTAATGGTTTCTAATTTAATGCCCATATTGTAAGGTGACAAAAACGAGGAAAAAAGCATAAAACACCTTTTGGCTTCCCTATGCCAGCTGCACATCATTTAGTACATGTTGTGCCTCTCATGACCTCTGACAGTGGCCTTCAAAGAAGTGCTTGTGTAGAGGTAACTGTCTGCTGGCCTCAAAAGGATGTTAAATGAGTTTTTCCTGGAAAGAAGATGATACTACTATCCTCCCCACCTGCTGCGAAACCTAATAATGATCCATTTTCAGGAAAGAAAAAACCCAAACCAAAAAAACCCCACCAAACAAATGAAACAACCCCCCTTCCAAAAAAAGTATTTTTTGAAAATATCAAGATATGTACCTATACACAATGTGTATAGTATCAGAACTGATGTGTAAGTTTTTACTCTAAGTAAAAACTCATTTTCACAGGTGAGTAGAAAAGGTCTGAAACTAACATGGAAACTCAAGGAAAATATTAATTTAGGATTACTGTTAAGCTTTTTTAAAGTGTGTGTTCAACCTGGAGGGGGTGGGGGGAAGAGCTGGTCACTGAATTTTTCTTAAAATATTTCTTAAATAAACAATTTTGAGTGTTACAAGAGCTGGCACCACTAAAGATTTCAGAAAACAAGCTGTGTAGTCCAACAGTTTCTCATCCAACACTTTCTCACTCGTGTTTCATGTTGGTAATGCACAAACAGCAATCTCTTGTCACATAAGTAGGTGTTTGATGATTCATTAGTGATAAACAGAATAAGATAAGCATGTGTAGATTCACAAAAGCAATAACTGAAGAGATGATCTGCTCAGTAGACGAGTGTTAGGGCACCTCAATAGCTCAGGAGGTTGGATTGCACTTGAGCCTTTGGGGAGGGGTTTCCATCTCATTGACACACCTGAGTGTGCTGATGTTTAAATCTGGTGACCTGTGTGTGCTGCACAGCAAGCTCTGTAACCAGTGCCTAAATCAGGACAGGAGCCTCAGTGGTCTTGCTCTGTCCAAAGAGCAGCAGACAATGACAACACGCAGTTTTAATTCCATTGATGACTAAGGCTTGGACACCCCCTGCATGCCTAATAAGGTATCCTAGGTGGTGGAGTCCTGGTCTATTAGAAAAACAGGAATGAAACTTTTTTTTCATGGGTGCAGGAAGCGTGGCCAGATGCCCATTCCTCTGACTGGAGGGTAAGGGGTTCACCGTCACCTCAGAGACAGTTTCCCCGGATAATTGGCTGTGTCTGGGCTTGTGTGTCAGACCTGAGCAAACCACATCAGCTCCCATGGGGTGGTTAGAGCAGCTGTTTGGAGCTCCATTCACACCACTAAAAGGTCTTACTCCCACCAGGAGGCTGCTTGTCCCCATCATTCAGGTGAGCAGCCTGCACATGCCCCTGAGAAATGGATACAGATTGGATAAACTCCCTGTTTTTCCTCTGGGGTGTGCTGCCTGTATGCAACTCCCAGCCACATCTTTCTGTGTTTCCCTGCCAAGAAATGGGGCATGGAAAACACTGTGACTTCATTTGAGAGCAAAAAAGAAGGTTTACCCCCCTTTTCCTTTCATGAAATCTCAGAAGATACAGTGAAAACTCAGACGTGTCCTTATGGATGCTGTGCCTGCAGTGTTTGCCTGTAGACATGCTTCCAGTGTGAGGGCACAAACAGACCAAACCTAAAGAGAAGCAGTGCCAGGTAAGTGACCTTTCTTTCCAGAGGGGAATGATGCAATGAACGTGTCCTGCACTGGGTTTTGCAAGTCTCTAAACTGGTTTTCTGCCTGTGTGTCTGA